CACACACACACACACACACACACACACACACACAGTCATTCACAGCAAACCACAATCACACACTCACTGCCCGTCATGGCTATTCTTAGCTGTGTTCTGGGCTATTTTTAGACCACTACCGGTTTCCAGCCATTTAGCAGGGAGGGATCTCAGCCAACACAAAGGAACTGGACTCACTCCGCAAGCATATGTGAGTGTAGGTTTCATCTGTTTCTAATCAGAACACGGCACGGATCCACAGTTTAACACACACACGCACGCACAAACACACACAGCGGGCTAAAGCAAAAGAAGGTTAACAGAGTAAAAGTGAGGAATGCAGACTTATAAATAGCAGCAATGTTCCCAGTCTAAATGAACACAAAACAATAAGCTGATAGTTATCTGGCCAGTAGCCTGTACACACACAAACAAGCACATGAGAACAAAAAAAGATAACCAAAACAAAGGAGCCTCTCTTCTACTAAATTCCTGCCTGCCAGATATTTCATTGGCGGAGTCTTTTCACATCTCTGTGGACATACTATCATCTAGAACTCACACTTCATTCCCCATCCAACTCAGTTTTTCCAGTACATAAATAAGCGTTTCGCTCATAGGGAGTGATGTGATTGTTGGGTTTTTCTCTGTTTTCTTCGTATCGTTGTAGGGTCTTGACCTTACAATATAAAGAGCCTTGAGGTAACTGTTGTTGTCATTTGGTGCTATATAAATAAAATTGAACTAAAAAAATCCTCTTGGTCTTTAAAGATACTCTGCACTTAATAACAGCTGTGGGTGAATGTTTTTTACATAACTGACACATTTGAATACTAGTCCTTTGTTTGTGCTGTTGGTCCCTTTTTGGGCATTTGTAAAGGGATTAGGACACAAAAGATATGGTTACTGTGTGGTATAGACTGACCAAGAAGTCTGGGTTAAGTTCATTTCTACACTTCCTGGCATGTTAGCTTATGAACCTGGCAAAAATAATCAGTCCTATGCTAAAAAAGGTAAATAAATAATAAAAATCAACCCTGAGACAGACCTAAACATACCAAGCCTTCATATTGAACAGTCAAAAATGCAATAGATGATGTTATGGTGGTCAAGTCTAGTCTTTAATATCTATAATTTATAGCATGACATGGAGTTACATGAAAAATAGTCTCCATAGGACATTCAACTGCTTCCTTACTCAATCTTACTGCTTCCACAGGAATTAAGAGAGAAGCTAGCAGCCAGGTGCTGCTAATCAAATTCACTTGATTAACTGATCATCAGTGAATGTGTGCACCTCCAGAAAAGCTGAACTTTTGCCAGTTTGCTGCACTGAAGCATTCAGATGTGTGCTAACACAATATCACGATCTTCACAGAAGTGAAGCACATTCACCCCAGGCTCATACAATACAATGATCAGAGAAAGCTTGCAGTCAGTGAGTGGAGCATGAACTCTTCGATAAACCAAATAATCAAATGTGAGGCTATTTATATGACAGCTAAAGTGAGAGCTTTCTTCTCAGACTGCATGCCTGAGCATGCAGCCACAGCTCAGGGTGTATGGCAATTCACTATAGCACTGTATCATAATACATTTAAAAAAGTTTTTAAAAAAAAGTAAAAAAAAAAGGTCCGTCTTTCATAGATTATGGGGCACAAATTTACAGTTGTGCTCAAAGGTTTCCATCCACTCATCATGGGCTTTTTCAAGACTAGAATGAATTTGCAGCATCCATCGAAGTGTGTGTGCAGATAAGATGCTTAGGTATTGAGAAAAGCACTTGTGTCACTGGGCGAGGCTTCAAGTAAAAAGTGCTTGAGTGCTAAGTTAAAGTCTCAGTCCATTTCATTTGGCAAAACAAATTAACAATGGCACCCTTACATACAGAGCTGGAATTAAAATGAGTCCAGAGAAGAAAAACTCCACTGGCTTTATCAAAATGATCCACTCATTCATCACTCCTTTCCACTACAATTTTACGAAGGTTAGGAAACTAACAAAAACGCCATGGCTAGGCAAAAGAAAAAGTGTGCACACACACAGGAAAAGAAAGCTGGACAGTAGCGACGGAGGATAAGTTGTACAGAGGTTACAGTGGCAGCGACAGCAGTGAGCAGTAAATAACGCTGCTGTTCAAACTGTGTCTTTACAGCACAGAGATGAAGGGACTGCAGGTATAGATTATAGTAATGAGCTAAACAGGATTGTAGTAGATTACAGAGGATTACATAGTGCGTAAAGCTGGCTCTGATGGGGTTGCCCGAAAGGTCATGTGGTCGGCAATGTGGGGGAAAAGCTCAGGTGATGCACGCATACGGTGTGTCCACGTGCAGGCAGAGAGCAGAGAACGGCATCAACACAGTCCTCTGCCTTCTCGTCTCAACAGGATAGTCCTGCTTATGAGAACAAACCTTGGCTGTTTACATTTAATTGTCTGAGTCATCTTCCTCATCATTTCCTAAACATAATCTGTTGTTTAGCAATATGTCACATGTTTCATTCAGAACTGCCTGGATTCCGACATCTTACAGCTTAGATTTGACCTTGGTGTCATGGTGTTCTTAGCAAGTGTCCAAAACGTGGGTGCGTGTTTCCACAGAGTGTGTGTTTGCATGTGTCTGCAGAGGCAGTTGCTATTGTGCTCTTTTCCTAATACTGTGACTATTAAGATTAGGCAGAACAAGGTTCAGTCCAGCACAAACTTTAGTACTGTGTGTTGCTGAAATGTTATACAGTAGGTCACACACACATTTGCACAGTGAGGTCAGATCCTCAAAGCATCATAGTTCCGATTAATAAACTATACAGAAAGAGTTTTAGCTACACAACACTGACTGTGAGGACATGAGCTCCACCCACCAGTTGTTCAAAACTGCTCTTTAACTTGCTGGGCCCACGTCCTCATTTTAGGTTTGACAGTGTTTTAGTAGATAAAGGCGAATGACTTAAACAGGAATTGAGCTGCGGTTTGGGGAAGGCCTCGAAGGGGACTGGCGGTGGCTCCTGGGCCTGGAAGATCCCCACGTACTAAATAAAAGTAAAGAAGTTAAAGAACTGAAAAGGGGAGGGACGTAAACGAGAATGAACAGCTTGTAGAACTGGGGGAACATAAATAGATGAGAGCCAGAGGGAGCATGTTTGGAGGCGTGGTCCCGCTCCTGAAATTCTGATATGAGGGGCAGCTAGTTGGGAGAAAGTAGTCTTGATGTGACAGGGTGTCCACATCAAATAGAATAAGTAAGAATAGTATAAAAAAGATTAACGGATGGTTTCTCAGAATTCTTTTTGCTCAATCAGGAAACTGAAAAGACCAAAGTCAACAGCTTATACATGTTGAACGTGTGTGTGTGTTTTACTTACATCCACAATGTCGGAGTTGGTCCTGCTCTCGTGTGGTTCATTGTATTCGGTGTATTTCAGCAGAACTTTGTCCATGTCTGTGCTGGCATACTGAAACAGCTTGTTGGTGCTGTTGAAGATGATCAGTGCAATCTCACAGTCGCACAACACACTGAGCTCATAAGCTTTCTTCATTAGGCCAAATTTACGCTTAGTGAAAGTCACCTGGAAGAAAGGAAGGTAAAAGGAGAACCGTGAAATGTCTAGTTATTAATGAGTCCATCTACCATTTTGCAAATCGTCACCCTATGACATATTATATATAACTTACATGGTCATATATATGGATTTAGGTATGCAACAGAATCATCTTCATCAATTATGGAAAGCCATAAAGGTTGTGAACAGGTGTAAACTGCTGCTGAGATATTGCATGTGGCCCTGACAAAATAACAGAACATCTGAAGTACAGTGTGCCACCAGAAGAATCTCAGTATGAAAGCATAGGCTATAGAATAAAAGCATATAAGATAAAGGCATAATGTTTTTATCCTTCCTAACTCCATGCTAACTATTGGTGTCAGCAGTCAAAGACGAAACTGATAAAATGTCCAGCTTAAACAATTACAGGTTTCTGTGGCTAGGTTACTGTCAAAGGTATTACAACAAATTATTTTATATTGTCTTCAAAAACACATAACAACTACCAAGAATCTTGCTCGGTCAACGGGATAGGCAAGTGAAGGCCAAATGTTTATAATAAGTAACATTATTGCCTTTCACACTGTGCTGATAAATGTATGTTCCAATGATTTGATGCTGAAAATATGGTTAAAATCAGAGTCAGAGAGGGGCAGAGAAGACAGGAATAAAGCATAGAAAAGTAAAAAATAAATAAATAAATATCAGGATAACAAGATTATCTCAACAACTTGGTAGCTTGGGTGGAGGTGGGTTGCAAATCAGCTTGCATTTGCACTACAAAGAGTACAAGTGTGTCAGGTCAGCAATCGCTGGTGCTTGCTGCTATTTTCCACACATGTTAGCCATCATAAACTGAGCCACTGACATAAAAAAGGAAATGTTTTTTTTTTCAGTATGAATAATTGTCATCAATATGACCAAGTACACATACTTTTACTGTGTTCACACCACAAGCCTGCACACAAAGAGGCACTGGTATACCTCGGTACAGACCAGGGAAGGACTAGGAGGTCAGTTCTGCCCTGTCAGGGGGGTCAGGAAGCACATGTGCCTGCATTTCCTGTCATAACAGGAAGAAAGGAACCACTCCCCCAGAAAAGATATGTGTGTGTGTTTGCGCCCGTGTGTGTCAGTGCACCTATTTACAATCAGTAGTTATAACACAGTTGTTATTTTGCCATGAGCTAGATGGTGCTGGCACATTTTGAAATGATTCTCACACACAATCACACAGTCGTGTTTGTGGGCGTCACATGACATGGTTTTGCTAGCTTGTCTGTATTAAGTGTTCATGTGTTCACCTAAACACAGACATCCCTCTGCACAGGGTTCTTGCTCAGAGTAATCATGAATAAATGTTTCATTGCATGTCACAGAAGCTCCTTTCTTAATGAGCTCATCAATTTGTATAATTCCTCTTTCTGCTGTATGATCTTTTTGTTTGATTTGATCCTATCCTTTAATTTTTACTTAAGTGCAGCAGCTTTTCCTTCGTGAATTACTAAGGTTATTTTTTATTTTAAACAATGCGCACTTTGGAAACTGACATGAAAACACTTCAGTTCGAGCTGTGAAGTTTTCAAGTAGAGCTAAAAATGTACCCTTAATGAACTTGTTCTATAAATACACTGTGGTGAGAATAAACAGGGGAAAGACTGAGGGGGAATCACATCCTAAGTTCAGAGGCTGAGCCAGAAAAACTGTTTGGTAAATATAAAAAAAACTGTTTTATACTCATTTCCAGCTCAATTCAATTCAAATAATCCTTCTTCAGCTTATACTTGGCCCGGTGCAGCTCCTTACTTTATCCTTTACCTGCAACAAGGCAGCATGGAGGCTGAGTGGTTAATTGAATTGAATTTAAACTTGCGAAAGTGTACCTCATAAGATTCTGTTCTTTCATATCTCAGTGATTAAAATAATAAACTGGAAGCACACTGTGAAATAAGTGCTAGTCAGAGTCTTACATCACTTACATGTCTGTTCCGTTCATCCATAATCCGTGCTATCTGGATCTTCTTTCGCCCCATCTTTTTATCGTTGACTGTTTTTCTTTTTCAGAACTGTCGTATTTTCAGGTTCCTTCGATTTACTTCCAAGTCCTCACGCTTTTTCACTTCTCACTTTCGAACTGTTGTGTGGTTCCTGCAGAAAAACAGCAATAAACAAATCGAGATTAACAAAACTTATGTATACTACAAAATTCACTGTCTGTAAGTCGTGTTGATGATCAAAACTCAGAACGTTTTTTGTTTTACAAATGGGATTTTACACACACACACACACACACACACACACACACGCACAAAGAAATGTGTGTGTCTGTGTGGTTTTCTACATTTCAACCCACTCCCAATTAACCAAAACAGACTCCAACAGGAACATGTATGAACACATACATGCATAATTGAAATAATTACCAAAAAATTAATTGTGAGTGGGTATCTTCTCATGCTACAATGCACAGTTTAACTGACATGCATGCGTGGTCAGGCAGCACATTGTCTGTTTGCATGTCACCGCTGTTGTATCCCCCCAGACACACCCATAAACCCAGCTTCCTCAAGGGGTTTACTGTACACTCAGGAGGAAGTGAAACAACTGGGCATGTCAGAATGCAAATGATAAAGACGGAGGAGTCTGGCAATGTCATACGGTATATAAAAAAACATCTACGTTTGAAAAACCAAAGTCGCAGACTGGAATTAGGTACATCTCAACCGCTCACCAGAAAACTTCCTCTTTGGGCGGAGCTGAATCGGACAAGAGAGCGGGAAACACCACGACCCAACTCCAACTACAGTCTTTACCCTCAGACTGGTGTCTTTAAAAATCAGTCCTAAGCAGAGCTTAAAAAAGGACAATTCACTGATGAAAATTACAATTTGATAACACAAGTAGAACTTACATAACTAACAGTTATTCAGTAAATTGTGTTTTTTTGTACCGTCTTTAATCTAGCCTTCAAAATCTTGATGAGCAAAGGACAGAACTGAATGACAAACAACCCACACTCAAATAGCAGCAACTAGTTAAAAAGAACTTCAAGTAGGACCATGATTTATAAAACCAACACCATGTTGTATTTGGTAAGACTTGAAACTATCAACAAGACCATAAACTGATCAGGCAAAGGCTGACTGCGGTCACAGATCCGGTAAGTGATTTCAGTACAACTGAATTTCACTTGCTTTGGCAACATGAGGAGCTAACCTCTCAGAGTACCCACTGTTACCACAAGGAGTTAGTTGCAAGAAGAAATCTAGCCATTATTCCGGTAAGAAAAAACAAAGGAAATAAGGAAGTGAAACTAGTGATGTTAAGAGTGTGCAGCGTCGATATATAAAACATTAATGTAGCAGGTTTTCAGTGGTGGGACATCAGAGAAAACCCACACAGCGGACATTGCAAACTCTACACACACAAAACCATACTCTCCTGCTTATTCTAAGCTCAACGGTATAATATCTAAGGCAGTTTTCATTTCCCTGCACATGCATTTTTACTGGTTTATCTTGTGACTAACAGTTAACACAAAAATCAGGTACAGGACATCATCATATGTCATTTCTTCCATTTCTTCCAAAAGCATCTTCCGACTTTTTGTGATTATTTCTGTAATTGCACAAAATGTAATGCAAGTTACATACCAGTGCCTCTAATGCAGCTGAAAGGGGGCTAATTTTTTGTTTTAAATGACCCATGCAAAGATTTAATTCTCTGGAAAAAGGCACAGACTTTAAAATGATCTGTTCTTTCACAACTATGTGTAAAGACAGGCTGCATGGATAGGTGCTTGATTTTAGACACCTGTCACAAATCGACTGAAAACACATGAACTCAAAGAGGGATCCAATACTTTTGACCATGCAGTGAGTGTGTGAGAAGAATCACAGTGAGCAGTATGTGGCGTTGTGTTACTAAATCTCACATTTAAGAGAAAAAAGCCTCCTGTCCTCTTGGTGCAGAATGTGACAATTCTTAGTAGCAGCATGAATCTAAGCAAAGGGTTTGTTAATAACTTGTGTTGCACAGAGCATGAAGCAGGATGTGAGCTAAACAGGGGACATAGAAAATTTATGCTTAATATAAAAGCAAGAGTACCAGTTAATGCAGTGTGTGTGTGTGTGTGTGTGTGTGTGTGTGTGTGTGTGTGTGTGCGTGCGTGTGCGTGCGTGTGCGTGTGAGTAAGAGAGACTGCGTATGCCATGTGTCCTGTGTCACACTCCTGAAGTGGCGCTTAAGAGCACGCTGAATTAACTGGATGTTCACACATGCAGGAACAGACAAACAAACACACATGGCAGGTTTTCTTGGCAGCTTCTCTGCCGTCATCATCATCGCCGCACTGCGAGGACAGAAGAGGTGTGACTGTTAAGGTGGTGTCAGCCTTTGGGCACACAGGATGAAACGAACAATAAAATAAGGATTTATGCCGATGTAAGCGATGACGAAGGTGTGTGCTCTCTGAACAAAAGCTAGAATGACTTTGCTGCAGAGTGTACTTCTTTTTTTGCCTCATCTCTTTATAACCATCATCATCACTATTTAAAAGGTATGAAGGCTACCATGGAACTAAAGTGGCCCAAATATACATATACATACGTACATATATAAATATCCCATCCAACTACCGGCCAATAACCTGCCTCAGTACCACGTGGAAACTCCTTTTAGGCATTATAGCAGCTAAGATGAAAAGGCTCATGGTGGGGCACAGAAAGGAATTGGCAAGAATACCACAGGAGCAAAACACCAGCTACTGGTAGACCGAGCAGTCAGCCGAGACTGAAAGACTAGGCTGACCAACCTGTGCACCGCCTGGATTGATTACAAGAAGGCCTATTGCCAAGCTTGGCAAACTTTTGTAGCAATCGATTCACTGCTACACCCACCACCAGGATATACAGCAATGACATCGGAATTGCACTACCAGAAGGCAACATTGCAGACATAGAAGACAGCTACAAATACCTGGGGATCCCACAGGCAAATGAGAACCATAAAGAGGCCTCTAGGAAAGCTGCAACCACCAAGTACCTGCAGAGGGTCAGGCAAGTACTGAGAAGACAGCTGAACGGTAAGAACAAGATCCGGGCCATCAACACCTACGACCTGCCCGTGATCAGGTACCCTGCTGGAATAATAAACTGGTCAAAGTAGGAGATAGAAGCTACTGACATCAAGACAAGGAAGCTCCTAACCATGCATCGAGGGTTTCACCCTAAGTCCAGCACCCTGAGGCTGTATGCTAAGTGGAGGGAAGGTGGCCAGGGACTAGTGAGTGTCAGCACCACAGTCCAGGATAAGACTGTGCATTTTTAGTAAATACCTCAGGCAGCAGAAACCCAAGAAAGAGGAGGAACCATCATGGAAGGTCAGGCCCCTGCACAGTACATACCACTTGCAGATAGAGAAAGTTGGTGACATGCCAAAGTCCTACCAGTGACTGGACTGAAAGACAGCACACAGACATAAATCATGGCAGCACAGGAACAAGCTCTGAGTGCAACATCCATAGAGGCTGGGGTCTATCACACCAGGCAAGACCCCAGGTGCAGGCTGTGTAAAGGTACCCCCGAGACAATCCAGCACATAACAGCAAGGTGCAAGATGCTAGCACGCAGGACATACATGAAACGCCATAACCAAGTCATCAGCATTGTATACAGAAACATCTGGAAGTTACGAGGTCAAAATGGAACACCCCGCCTAGGGTGGTTGAAAATTACTGAGCTAAGATACTGTGGGACTTCCAGATACAAACAGACCAACAAAATGGTGGTGGCTAACCAACTGAATATAGTAGTGGTAGACAAGCAGAGGAAGATGGCCGTAGTGATAGACGTAGAGATACCGAATGATGGCATCTTCTGAACAAGGAACAGTTGAAGCTGAAGAAGTACCAAGGGCTCAGAGAAGAGCTCAAGAAGATGTGGAGGGAGAAGGTAACAGTGGTCCCAGTGGTCATCGGAGCACTAGGTGCAGTGACTCCCAAGCTAGGTGAGTGGCTCCAGCAGATCCTAGGAACAACATCCAAGAGCTCTGTCCAGAAGAGCGCAGTCCTAGGAACAACTAAAATGCTGGGCAGGATCCTCCCATGTATCTGGTAGAGGATCTGAGCTTGAGAGATAGACCGCCTGCAGGGGCAAGAGGTGAGTATACGTCAATGGACACTGTACTGGTGACTATTTTTCAGCTTAACCAATCTAAAAATAAAAACAGAAGGTTCTGAACCTTAATTACCTATGAAAACTACTTCTCATTTCAGCCCTGGTGTTCACATCTCTACTTGTTTTCATGTTACACAATCTAAAGAACAAAGATTGACTGCACTCTGAGAAGATCCATCCAAATAATAATTACTACCAAAACACTCTTGTATAGTGTGTTAGTTCACACTAAATGTGTGAGCTGAATCAGTCTGCCATATCACAAATAACACATAAATAATCCATAAAACAACAACCAACCGCTCAATGTGACCACTGAGAATTCAGTAAAAGATTTTGTATAAAATAAGGCTGTTGGCAACAGGAGAGAAAGGCAGCATCACTTTAAATGATTAAAGCTGAAACTGCAGTGCTGGCTTTAGTGGTTTGTTCATGTTGATCACGACCCTTCTGCACTCGTCATGTGCTTCAAAACCCCTCAGTGGTTCATACTGTGTGCCCGAGTTATAAAAGCAAGAACAACGAGTAAGAAGACATTTTTCAATGTTTTGTGTTTGCAGCAGATGGCCGCCACTGCCTCAGCCATACTCTGCCAGAGGTCTTCCTGTTAAAAGGGACTTTGCCCTCACCCAGTGTTTGATCATAAGGTATCACCTGATCTCATGGGGTTCACTCTTAAATAGATGCCAAAGAGTAACTTTTTTCATGGTGAATTGACTGATTCTTATATACTGTACACATTTTCTGCTCTCAAGAAGCACTCAAAGCATACCTCATTCACCCACTCATACAAGCACTTTTTTCTATCTAACTTTCGCACACATTCACACTCCAATGCATGCATCTAAGAGCAACTTGGGGTTAGTATCTTGCCCAAGTCTGGCATGCAGACTGAAGCAGCCAGGGATCAAGCCACCAATTTTCCAATTAGTAGATGACCAGTTCTACCTCATGAGCTACAGCCACACAGAA